AATATTTTAAATAATTAAGCTTGATATGTTTTCAAAAGTTAAGAAATTTACTGAGTAATTACAATAATTAAGGTTGACATGTTTTGGAAAATTAGTAATTTCACTGAGTATTTACAATAATTAAGGTTGACATGTTTTTAGAAGCACATAGTTATACTGAATATTTATAATAATTTATTTTCGTGTGTTTTGAGAAGCACACAGTTTTACTTAATATTCATTATAATTTGGGTTTGGCGTGTTTTGAAAAGCACACAAATTTACTGAATGTTTACAATTATTCATGTTGGCCTGTTTTGAGAAGTACACAATTTACTGAATGTTTATAATAACTTAGGTTGACGTGTTTTGAGAAGCACACAATTTTACTGAATGTTTACAGTTATTCATGTTGGCCTGTTTTGAGAAGTACACAATTTGACTGAATGTTTTTAATAACTTAGGTTGAGTTGTTTTGAGAAGCACACAATTTTACATTTTGCTGAACATTTATAATAATTTAGGTTGATTTTTTTTTGAAAAGCACACAGTTTTACTAAATATTTTATAGTAATTTATGTTGATGTGTTTTGAGAAGCATATAGTTTTACTGAATATTTATAATAATTTAGATTGAGTTGTTTTGAGAAGCACACAATTTTACTGGCTCCCCAGTAGTACAGCGGTATGTCTGCAGACCTACAACGCTAGAAACCGTGTTTTGATACCCGTGGTAGGCATTGTACAGAGCGTCCATTGTATAGCTTTGTTCTTACCTTCAAACAACAGATTTACTAAATGTTTTCAATTATTCAGGTTTTCTTTTTTTTAGAAGCACACAATTTTTCAGAATATTTATAATAACTTAGATTGGCGTGTTTTGAGAAGCACACAGTTTTACAGAAGGTTTTCAATTATTCAGTTTGGCGTGTTTTGAGAAGCACGCAGTTTTACTGTATATTTTTTAACATTACTTCAGTATAAATTGCAGTTGGAATACGTGAAAGTGCAATATGTGAGTGTATTGCCTGGGGAAAGTTGTCCTTCCCTTTTGTGTCCACTATTGCTTCATTTTCGCCTAAACTCGTATTTGAAAGGAAACGAAATGTTATTAACGAATTTCCATGATTAGAAGAATGGGGTTAGTGTCCTACTGTTGCTAGCCTATTTTGATTACTTGCCACATAAAGAAGCATTATCGATACCAGGTGTGTCTATCATTGGCCTTAGACGTCCATATTGTAGCATTCACTCCAGCCGTAGTACCACCACCGCCTCTTAACAAAAGGTCTCGGACACAACATTTAAGGCTAGGGAAAGTAAGTCCTGCTAACAACATCCCCAAAAGGATTGGAAAGGTAGAACCTGCAACAATACCTTCGATTGAAAATAATTCAATGAGATCTTAGTGCACTGTCGACTTTTTGTATGGTTTGTTTCATGTATTGTAAAAAAATTACAATATGAAATAGTTTGAAACTTCATATTTACTTTGTGTACATTGTGTGACTTATGGAAATAAAATTCATTATTTTCACGTGTGATATTTGTATGAATTCTCAGCTTTGCGATTTCGAAAATATTTCATTGTGATATTTTTGAGAAAACAATGCTTTCCTATATTGAGACTATTGATTACTGATTTTGATGTCTTTACATATTTTTTTAGAAAATTTTAGAATATGAAGACGGTGTATGTTTGTTGTGTAGTGTCTAGAATGATTGGCACATGAAGTTCATAAAGCTAATTTAGCTATAAATGAGGGCAAGAAAAAGGCGACGAACTTAAATATACATTATTTTGGTCAGGTCTTTGTGGATGGAAAAGTATCTGAGGATGTGGAAATCCTTACATATATTGGTAATATAGTTAGTGTTGAGAGAGATATCTGCAAGACAATATTAGGAAAAGCAGGAGTTGTTTTAAAGAAAATTAATAACATATTGTTACAACAGCGGATGTCATGTGACGGTGGGAGCATGCGTGGTGAATTTCTCGAATAATCGGGCAACTCCGTGAATGTTGGAGACGCCTCTTTGTTACTATATAAGCCTAGCAGAGAATAGCCAGGGGTAAGCGAACAGTAGTTACGGTGAGGTTCGGGTAATTTACGATTCTGTTTCGAGCTAGTGTGTGTTTTGCACTCGCAGAGAGCAAAGTTATCGAGGATGTGAATCGCTGTGATTTATAGCGTATATTATAAAAGTTTAAAGTGATGTGGACTTTCTGTGTACTAAATATTGTATCAAGAAAAAATAAACTGGTTTAATTAAGAAAGGACTTGTATTGCTGAAGTTCCTCGGAAAGAATTTCTACGGGAAATTAACAAACAAGCAGATACCTAACAAATTGGTGTCAGAGAGCACACGAAAAAAAAAAGGAAACGAGAAGTGGCAAATCAAACTACTACTTAGCAGATTTGATGGCAGCAATACAAGAAAAACAAAAGAAACAAGAAGAACGAGAAAATAAACAAGAAAAGAGACTACAGCAGTGGTTGGAGGAGAAAGAAAAGAAACAAAAAGGGAGATTACAGCAGTGGTTAGAGGAGAAAGAAAAAAAGAATACAGACTACAGCTATGGTTGGAGGATAAAGAAAATAAACAAAAAGAGAGACCACAGAAGTGGCAAGAAAACCAGCACCAGTGGCAACTGGAACAACTATTGAAAAGTCAGCAACAGTGGCAAGAAAAACAAGAAGAAAGAGTACAACATCAACATGAAGTACAAATGGAAAAGTTTAGAAATTTCAAAATGAATTAAAGAATGATTTACTGTCTTTTACACAAGGAGGATATATTAGCCATGGACCTAATCAGCCCCAGACTTAATATAGGATTCGAATTCAAGAGCTCTGGCCATTGCATCTTTTATAATAGAGGGGTGTGCTTGCTTTACTTGTATCTTCAGTTATGGACTGTCCAAGCCATCTATGATCATTCAGCAACAGCTTGAGGACATCGGGTGGTGCAGTTGGGTAGGCCTTGTGTTCCATACTTTCCAAATCTTGTGCCAGCTCTTGCAGGCTCTCCCCTTTAGCACAGACTCTAGTCCTAAACCTAGCCCTGTAGACTTTGGACTGATTTTGAGTTCCATACCTGAGTTCTATAGCAGG